TATGGGAAAGCAAAGAAAAGTTTAGTATTAGATATGTTAATTTTTAACTTTCACCTTGTGTATAGACGCTTGTTTTTCCGACTTTAATAATAATCCATTTATGTTTAGTGGTGTAATTAACCAAATTACTTATTTCAATTAAATGGAATCCCGATTACACGACATTTTAAAAATGGCAAAAAGGGAAAATTTGAAAGGTTGTAGGTTGAGATGGGGAGCTGGTGTCCGAGTGGATGGAAGTGACGATAGCTCAAGTGGCAGACCTGCGGCGTATTTTGCCGAAGGTCGTGGGTTCGACTCACGCTCGTGACACTACCTTTTTCATTTCAACAACCTTACATAAAGATTAATTAATTGAAATATTTAATATTAATATTTTTGGAAATCGCAAATCCTCCAGGAGGTAATCAAGGAAATTTATGTAGGAAACCAATGTAGGATCCAAAATGGAGCCTTGAGGGACGGTGCCGTAGTATTTCTCCAGTTTGCCATTTTTTCATATTTACTTAGTATTGATGTGTTTTGAAACTTTCAAGCAAATCGGAAATCAGCTTAAGATATACAACATTAAAATTGTAGGTTATGAAAACTAAAACTTTTTTAAGTTTCTTAAGTATAAGGTTTAATATTTGGTCCAATCCTGGCGATTTTTTATTTCTAAAATAGTGAAATATGTCATGAATTTTCTTTTAAGCCAGCGTGCATTCTTGAAGAGCCAACGATAAGCCTAAACAAGCTTATCTAGGTAGCCGCTGATGGTAAGAAAATGGACACATCCAAAAAGATGGAACAAACGTACCAAAAGGAATAATTATGATTTTTTTGGCAATAAAAAAAGAATAAAATGAGAAATAGGATATCCTATTATTCTATGTTATCAGAGATCTACGAGAGGAAAGAAAAATGGGAATTCCCTCTTTATATCCTTAAAGTTGTCGTTTCGAGCTTATAGGTTAACTAAAAATAGATATTTCCCAGTAAAAAAATCCTAAAAAAAAACACTCTCGGCTTAATAATACAATTATAATTTTTACGAATATATCATAAAGCGGAAAACCGTTCCAGGCAATCCACTTGGGGAAATCCACACGTCCGCGTTCACAAGTTTATCCTTGAATAAACTTTTCTGCCTTGGAAGGCTGTCTTTATTACTTTTTCCTTGTGAATACTACTCTGTTCGTTTTCAGGCTTCCCCCGCCTTTACAATGAAAATAATGATTATAAAATTTTAATAGGAAAAATTTAATTGTAATTTTTTACCACGATTTTCAAATTTTTTAGTTATCTTCTTGATTTGGTGAGAGTAAGTACAATTTACAATATTCATGCACATTTGTATACTTTTCTGAAGTGCCGGTAGCTTACAAAAATTGGTCATCAGGAAAAATAATTGTTTGATGGTATACCTTTAGGGTTATAAATAGGGCGAGACCATTCACCTATGTGGCTGTATTTTTTTAAACGAGTTCCAGTCAAAAATTGATACAAAACATTCAAAAATGTGGCAAAAGGTACTTCTTGATATCCAAGACAAAAAAAATGCTAATTTCGATTTAAACATATCAGGGTTATAAACAGGGCGAGGCAAAGTGGTTACTGTGGATCGGTGTCCCTGCTACGTGATCGTTGTACATGAGATGACCAGACATTTAGCCAACCTAAAAGATATACAATCTCGTTGGAGTAAAGTGCACTGTTGAAAATATAAATGAAAACTTAATTGGTCAAGGTTGTCGGATTTGAAAATATCACATACACAAATTGGAGGATTCCGTATCAGATTTTCCTCACATTTGCATCTTTTTTTATTATAAAGGGATTTCCTCTTGCTCTCGAACAAAACGATTAAGGCCGGTGGGAATTTTATTCACGATTTTAATAAATAGACGTACGATGCAATAACGATTCTTTCATCCTTGAAACTCAATTTGATTTTTTTCAAGTTAAAAGTGTTATTTTAACGAAACTTTTTTGGGGATTAAAATGTATCAAAGGAGAAGGGTTTGTGAAGAGGACGTTATCAGGGTGGTGACTTTAAATGAAGAGAGGTTTAGTTAACGTCAAATCATGTCAGTCGTTTCCAGAATTGCGAGTTATCTCCGTGTGGTCTGTGGGTGAACCTCTAATACGGTCGTTGCCGATCATTTAGTCTGCCGATTTCGCCGTCTTCAGGGTTGTCGCGGCTTGAAAAGGATCGGCTGCTGCGGGGTGTTCCTCTTATATCCAGAGGATCCGCGCCCATGAAGAGGTCCACGGTGACGTTAGGTTATTCCGTGTTTTTCGACTATCTTGATGGTCACTTTTGGGCCCGAGCATTGTAGCCAGCCTTACGCATCAATCGTTATCCCTTACCCCCGGCTATCCTGGTCACCCTACGCTTACTATTATCCAGTGAGAAGAAGTAGAGGATTCGTGGATCAAGCCACGGACTCGAAAGCTGTAAGTACCTACCATCAGTAATCGGAGGGTGCCCTACCACAAAGGCAACTGCATATTCGAAGTCCGTTGGTTCTAACAATGGTGCGGCAGACCAATGGCTGCGTAATTCAGGCCTCTTGGGAACACCCGTCTTGGGGACATACGCCAGGTTCTGAGAGGAGGAGAACCTACGCCCGCAGAAATCTGAGTGCATGTGCTGTTCTGTTAGGGAACACCACGTAAATTTAAAAACTCCGTCTAAGGAAGTTTTACTCCCCAAGCGCTGGTACGTCACTTTTGATGGAGTCAAGGGTGTTGATAACTATGGGCTGGCTACTCTGGTGCGTCTGATGCGTCGGTCGTTCTTGACGGTTGCAAATTGTTTGGGATCTAGTAGTACTCATGTGTTTTACATAGGGTATATTTGCGAATATCTCTGGGTACAGAACGGAATCGATAGGTAGGTAAAACTCGAGCCAAATTCGAAAGTAATAATTTGAACATTAATGATTAATGAGAAGAGTGAGGTTTTTGAAGCCTGCATAATTTCGATATGTTGGGTTTAATTTTTGATAGCTGGAGACGGATGTCGGTCCAACAGACATTTTCGGTGTTTAGTTTAGGTGGCTGTATAGATAGAAAATCCGGATTCGCATGGATAGTTTTTGGCAAATGGAAGAAGAACACGTTTTGCTTCTTCAACGAGCTGTTGAAATTTGTTGTTTTCCAGTCGGAGCCCAACATGGGGTAAGTATCGGACGCGAAAGTAGATTTCAAGTGAAGACTGAAGTAATGTCCATCAAAATTTGTTTTCATTTGAAGATAGACTAGTTGGCTTGGTCGAAACAGAAAACAGTTTGACCACCCATTCATAATCTTGCATCATTGCATTTCGAGCTGTTTGGAAGCAGTGCTCAAAGGACAACTCCAAATTTCGAAGGTGTTGGCCAATTTGACATTGTGGTCCATCAACAAAACTTCAGAACGTAATTCCTATAATAGAGAGAGAGAGCCACCTTCATTTCTGCATGGAGAATCAGGGAATGATGATGCCTTGATATAATTAATAATTGGAACAGAATCATCCAATACTTTCTTAAAAGAGGCTGGCATTTGTTTAATAGCTAAAGCATGTCTGTGGACAAACACTGCTGCTGCAAAAATAAAAAAAATTCTTTTTCAGTACTCATTGTTATTAGTTTATTAATTTTATTCATTCATTCTACATTTATTTTTGTGAATATTATTTTTTTTAAAGTTCGCCGCGGACACCCTAGTTAGGGTTTGCGGACCACAGTTTGTGAAGCCCCGCAGTAGAGTACTTGAGTAGACCAAGGGCAGAGTATACTGTCATGGGGTTGGAACCTACGTGGAACCCACCCCTTCGGAGGTGGGAGTCGTGCACTACAAACATCGATCAAGGGCTAGGTGTGGTCTTAAAAAATCCTCGCGTCCTTCTCAGAACCACAGGAAATTTTGTCATCTTCAGTGTTGGGTCCGTTTGAAGTGAAGTCAAGTCACTTTTATAAGAACGTAAAGGTTTGCGACTGTCGGAATTGTTGAAGATGGCTAATTCCAAAACGCGTTCTGACAGACCAATCCTGACAATGAGGATAGGCAGAACAAAATGAACGGTAACGACCAAATTACAGTTCTTGAAGACTTAGGCGATATGAGGAATCAGAAAATCGCCCCCCGTGACAGGAATAACACTGTACCAAATCTTAACCAGGCAATCAACTGTAACGGAAATTCACGTTTCAGCTCGAATCGTAAGAAAAGACTATGAGTTTAATCGGTTACTCCATCTTCCTAACCAGAGAAAATGACTGAATGACCAAATGACCCTGCTTGTACGTCTGAGCAAGTTCGGCCCAGATGATCAATCACCTACTGTTGGAGTGTGACAACCGCCTACCGAGATATCTACTGAAACATGTAGTGACTTGAGTATCCGTGTACCCTTAATATGATGTAATGAGGCGCTTTACGTGATACACACACTTTTTTCGTTCTTGAAAGTTTATTCAAATGTGTTTTTTTTTTTTTTTTATTGACCTATACATGTCTTATTTATGCTATTTTATCATTTTTATGAACCATTATTTCTTTCCCCATTATCTCTGTGCCAAGAGTGAACGTTGGCAGGAAAATGAATAGAGCTGTAGTTTCCGAGTAAATTAAATGGGTGGTTGACAAGTTAACAGGGATGATTATCGAATAAAAACTATTTCCACTACGTCATACCGCTTGAATACCCGTTCCAGCTGTGGTTCCTGTATTGTGCAATTAAATTATACAATAAGTGATTCGGTAATAAGACATAAAACAACCTTAAATATAAATAAATGGACGTTTAATCTGTAGGGCCGTTAATGTCTTCATGCTCATTCAAGGTTACTTCCCAAAAATATGGAAAGAATGAAAGGTAAAGTTGATCTGGACCACACCCATTATCGTCCGATCAGCTTAGGTAGTGCCGTGAGCCATATTTTTGAAAAAACAACACATTAGTTAAAATATTGAAAAGATGTATAATCGAAAAGAAATTAATAAAAATTAACAGTTTGGGTTTCTTCCAGGTTGGAGTTTCAATTAGCCAGATGTAGTTGTATAACTGAAAACTTGGTAGAAGCATATCACTAACGGATTTGGAGAAGGTATTTGACACTGTATGGCAAAAAGGGATAATTTTCCGGATAATAAGGTACCAATTTCCTTCTTATGTAATTAAAATAGTTCAATCGTATTTGAGCGATCGGTCTTCCACGGTAGCAGGATGTTTTTTTCTTTTTTTCTCCGTATAAAGTAGCATCAGGGGTTCCACAAGGATCTATTCTCGGGCCCATTTTATTTTGTATTTACATGAATGCTACCTCACAAGAAAACTATTATCAACGTTATTACAGAGGAACCTCCAATAGTGCTTAAACTTAAATGTAGAGATAGTAACAGCTTATTGAAGAAACATCCTATACTAATGGCCCCGAGAGACGACATGAACAGGATTTTTGAGTTCAAGAAAAATTTCCAAATAAATAAGTACCGAGAAAAGAAAGGGAAAAGGGTAAACGGTGCCATCTGCTTTGCTGGATCTAGCAGGAAGGAAGGTATGCGGGCAGAAGAGTTCTGTCCTGGAACCAAATACTCAGAACCCATGGGAAAATACACCAGTATCTTCCAGGCTGAAGTCCATGTAGTTGAGAGATGTTTCCCCCCCAGTTCAATCTGAACAAAGGGTACAAAAACAAGAATACAGTTAACATGTCAGATAGCCAAGCAGCCATCAAAGCACTAAGTTCAAACAACATTAGCTCAAAGATGGTGCTGAAAGCTGAACTAAATAGATTAGGTATGACAAATAACGTCATCTTCTGGTGGGTCCCAGGGCGTATGGGAGTACAGGGCAACGAGAGAGAGGACACCCTTGCAAGCAAAGGGTTGATAGCACCTGAGTCCTTCTGTGGCATAGGGATTTACACTATCAATGAGTACCTTAGACCAAAGGTCAAAAGGAAAATGAGGAGGGGTATGATAATGATGATGATGATGAAGGCTTTAGTTATCAATCACACAAGATTTGATCTCAAGGATTATTGAAATAAATATTCTAGTATACAGAATAATCGAGCAAATAAAAAGTAAATTACTAATTAATTAATCTTTATGTAAGGTATTGGTTGAAATGAAAAAGTTATTTGGTCGATCGGACCACGAAATGTAATGCAGTAAATTACTATTATAGTAAATGAACAAAAATACTTTTTCAATACAATTCAGTACAAATCATGACTTATAAATTGTCAATATAAATCTAGAAATAAAACGTCTAGTCACTAAATAGTAATAAAAATACATTTAAAAAAGTTAAATTTGACAGTGAATTTTTAACATCAATCATAGCTTGATAAGAGGTGATTTTTAATACTATTCTGGAAATCGTTGATATTTTTACTTAGGTTTATGTGTTTTTTTAACTCATACTTTTTAAACTTAAGCGCTTCCTACCCTCCCATTATTACCTTTTAATGAAATCCTACCTAAGTGATCGCTGTTTCAGAGTGAGATGCTGCGGAAGTCAAACAGACACAGGTCGGTATACCGCAAGGTATATATCCTTGGTCCTGTCCTATTTATCATTTATACTGCTGGCCTACCAACACATCCTGACACTATTATCACCACCTACGCGGACGACACCGCAATCCTATCCTGTAACTCGAATCCTGTCCAAGCTACCTCCAACATCTAGGAACACCTTGAGCTTATCGAAGTCTGGTGTAAAAAATTGAGGACAAGACTGAACGAAGAAAAATGCACTCAGTGTACTTTTACGCTGAAAAAGCAATCTTGCCCTCCATTGTACATCAACAACAAAGAGATACCAGTTTCCACTCAAGTCAAATACCTGGGAGTATATCTCGACAGCAGACTGACGTGGAATCCCCACACAAGACTTAAAAAACAGCGACTTAATACAAGACTTGGACTACTACGAAGACTTTTAAGACCGAAATCGACTTTGGCAATTAAGACAAAACTAACACTATACAAGACTTTACTAAGACCAATATGGACATACGGAATAGAACTGTGGGGAACTGCCAAGCCTTTCAATATCCAGCGCATCCAGTCCTTCCAATCGAAAATCCTTAGACAAATTGTCAAAGCACCTTATTATGTCGCTAACCTCACTATCCACAGACCTCAACTTTTGCCAACGAACTAATCCAGTCCAGGTTCCAAACCTTCCATACCAACCTTTCGAACCATCCTAACCATACTGCTCGAGCCGTATCCACTCATTCCCATCCTGACAACCCACCACGTCGCCTCAACAGACGATCGCCTCGGGACCTTCTTGATACCTAGTCACAATGAGTGCCAGCAATGGCTGGCTCCTCAAAGCATGTGCTCTACCGGTGCAGTGCTGGCATTAGTGCTAGTGTTGTGCTGTGTGATTTATCATTCATGTGTACATATTTGTATAGTATACAATTCTGTATAGGTAACAAATAAATTAAAAAAAAAAGTTTTATGTGTTTAGGGATCTATAAAAAATTATTGCACCTTTTACTGAGAATGACCTATTAAAAGTTTTGGTTTTGTGTTTAACGATTAGCAGACGGGATTGATCCTAGTATGTTTATCATGAATCTGAGACATGTACTTAGATGTAGATGTACATGTAATAATCAAGGTATGGTATATTGCGCTCTTTAAGAGCTATTGTATACCCCGCTCTCTGCCTAAAGCACATCGGTGAGTCCTACTTCATCAAGAAACTTGATTAGTAGGCCCGGTTTTAGTGGTTTAAGCTATTCTATGGTCACATTATACATTCCAAAACATTTCCTCATGCGAGCAAGTGTAGCTCCGCAGTTTGTTAGTAGAAGTGTCTTTTCTGCCTGTTTGCAGAAGCTGCATGTGCCATCTTGGATTATTCCGATCTTCTTTAAGTGTCCATTTAGCTTGCAGTGTCCTGTTAGGAATCCTATCAGGATTCGCAGTTTGTTCCTGTTCCCTTGACACATTCTGTAATTTCTTTTTTACCAAAATTGGTTAGGAGATTCTTGGATTGTCTGTGCCCAATGAGTGAATTCCATAGTTCCTTGATTTTCTTTTTGTCCTTCTCTCTGAGATACTCGTTAATAGTGTGGGTTCCTATGCCACAGAAGGGCTCAGGTCCTGTCAGCGGTGTAGCAAGCTCCTTACCTTGCAAGGCTGTCCGCATTTACTTAACTTTCACATAAAGATATTTTGGATTTTGAACATTTAAAACTTTAAAAACTTTAGATGATAGACTGTAATCGATTAAATCATTAATGTGCGGTGTTTAGTAACCGTTACTTGACGATTATTCGGAGATCATGAGATGCGGTTTGGTGTGACGTAGATTTTAGAAAAACATTTTCTTTATCGTGCCAACGTTTCGATCTTTATTGAGATCATCTTCAGGGCTGGGGTTTATAAACATTGTGTAAATTTTACAAATACACGTAGGATGTGAAAAAATGAATTTATATATATTCGTAAAATTTAAATAATGTTTATAAATCCCAGGCCCTGAAGATGATCTCAATAAAGATCGAAACGTTGGCACGATAAAGAAAATATTTTTCTAAAACCTACGTCACATCAGACCGCACCTGGTGATCTCCAAATAAATCTTTAATTTTGAGAAATTTAAGTTGCCAAAACTTATTATATGTACTTCTGTCATATTTCAGGTTTAGGATGTATCTGATACACATGTTTAACCCAACTTGCAATTTTTTGATCTATGCACGATTTAAGTCACACATTGCTCCTACATCATATGTTATATGTAAAAAGATTAGAGTTGATACAAGTTTTTATTAATTATCAGATTGATATGGATAAATTATATTTTCAGATTCAAGATATTGATATGTTATCCATTTTTTGATTTATATCCCACGTTTCATACCACAAGTTTTTTGATATTTTCATTGCACTTTGCAAAACTTAACAAATTATTAAATATATGTAAGGTCGAGTAGATTTGTTATTTAATTTTTAACGCCTATAAACCCCATGACAGATTCTTGGTAAACTTTAAACCCAGACGTTATACATTTTCCTCATATTTTAAAAAAATGTTATCAATTTTAATTTTATTTACATCATCAAGGTTGATATTTTAAATAATTTATTATGGGCAAATAATTGCATTGCATTTAGTTGGGTTTAACCGTAACGTATGGTTATTACTCCAGTCTGCAAGTCTTACAAGGTCAGCATTCATCTTTTTCGATTTTTTCGTTAATATTATATAATTTTGCATTGATATAAACATTTAGCTCATCTGCGTATAATTCAACTTTACAACAATGTAAAGCTTGATATGTACTATTAATGTACAGTGAGAACAACAACGTTGACAAAGTAGACCCTTGTGGAGACCCGTGATTAATGAATTTTTCTTCAGAAACTTCTCCATCCTGTGTTTTTATCATCTGACTTTTGTTTGTTAAATATGTGTGAAATAAGTTAATTACATTATCGGATAAATTTAATCATTTCAGGATTGCTATTAAGATTTTGTGTTTTATACTGTTAAAAAAGCTGGCTAAAGTCAACTAAAGTCATGATGGTCATTTTACTTTTATCTATGTTTTCTCTTATTACCAGACATCATAATTAAAACAGTTTCTGCGCTATGTGCAGATCTATCACCATATTGATATGGTTAAAATATATTTTAGATCCAAGATAGATCTTATATTTTAGATCTTCAGTTTTACCGGGGAACGAACATGGATTGGGTTAGGTTAGGTTAGGTTAGATAGGGTTAGGGGTGAGTTAGTAAGGTTAGGTTACTTTATCTAATCTTTATATCTAATATGTTATCCATTTTTTGATTTCTACCCCACGTTTTATTACACTTTTTGGATCTTTGCTTTTTGTATTGCTATGAAATGTGTGAAAAATATTTTCCTCGATGGGAACGGCCATTGCTCTTTTTAGCTGGTTGTATGAAGGGCAAAGGTCAGAATAGATTGAATTTTGCTATATTTTTGTCTTCCTGGAGTTTTGAACCTTTACAGGATACGTAGAATGTTTATGATCCTTCACATACTTACATACTTGATTCCATATTTTAATTTATTGATGATGGAAAATTTTGATATTTTTTCTGGTCGGATATCAGATTGTACGATGTAAGTTAACCTTTTGACCGAC